TGCCGAATTTAATTAAAGGATTACGTTCGACGCACCTCCGCTAACGACGAACCGGATGCACGTACACTGGTTTTTAAAATAAATAGACACAACTCGGGATCGGGAAATAAAATTGCTAGGGAACGCGGTGGAGCTTGTCCTCTTTACCGGGGTAAGTTCGCGGAAATTCGAGCGGGATCATTAAGATCATTTGAAAATCATCCGAGGGTTATTCAGGGATCGGATTAAGGTCGTTGGAGCTTATTCGAAGAGCGCGTATCAAGATCATTCCGTACGCCTTGCTCCAGAACTCGAGAGATTCGACGAATTATATTTAACGCGTTTATCGCGAAATCTGATATACGCGTCGGACCTATTTCCCAAAAATGATCATCGGCGATTACGCAACGAGCGGAGTGCGAAGATTTTATCGCGTTAAAATTTGAACATTTTATCGGCGAATAATTGGCCGCGTTAACGACCGCAGTGAATCGATAGAGACGTCCGACAAATTTAATAAAGTGGTCCCGATAACTCCGGCCGCCATGATCACGCTTGAAAAATGCCCGAAATTTCCCGGGCTCTATCCGCTTATCGACATTTATGGCTGATCGTTAAACGTCTGCAGTGCTCGTTCGACAATTACACAAGTACGTGCCGGTCGGCGACGGCTGCTTCTCTGCCGAAAGTCACCCCTTAAAGCACCCCCTTTCCAGGCGCCGCTCGTTTATAGATGCCGGTACTTCTAACCCCCAGCGATGGGGCTCGTTAAACGTATGTTCCACGGGAAGAAGATCTTCTCACCCTCGTTAATTATTCTCCACTGCATCCTTCCGTGACGCAGAGAAACGGGCTGGATGGAACGGAAGGGAAACAGGGGCTCGACGAACACGCGGAGAATGCAATCCTTCTCTGACAAGAAGGAACACGTCGACGAAACCTTCCGATTCCACGAGAAGTTCTCGACGTTGGTCGTTTGATAAGGATTCGCGCCGTTTCGTTTTACGAATTAATCGGGAACCCTGTGCCCCGACGTCGACGACCCGCGTCGGTCCGCGTGGTCCCCGACCGTGGTCCGACGTGCCAAGGATACCCGCGTTAAACGACGTCGGCGGGTCGTTTGAAATAATTCCGCCGACCTTCGGATCCGTAGGAATGATTCGTTCTCCCGCGAGATTCGAATTCTCGGAGGGTGAAATTTCTTTTTGTGCCGGAGAATTTCACCCGCACGGAATTCGCGTTATTTTGATACGAATCGAGGCCGCGTTTCACGCCGGGGATGTTCCGCGAATTTATTCCGCAAATTCGAGCAGCCGTAACGAGCGATATGAAACGAGGCAGGGGAGAAAGGAGAAAGCGGGCGGACGCCGATGGCTAGGAAAAGTCGGGGGCAAAGAGAGACCAGGAGGAATCCGTTAAGTATAAATTTCGCGCACGACTATTCTTTATCGCGCCATGCAGTCTATTCTGCGAGAGGAATAGGCCAGTTATCACTTCGCGCCTTTTATATCTAGTGAACCGGCTCCGTCGGGGAAAATTAAATATCTTCCAGCTCTCGCGCCGTTGCCCCACGAGGTCGAATCTCTTCGTAAGTCAGCCACGGACATCTTATAGTTTCGAACTCGCCTCTCGGCGCCGAGATTACGGAGCGTAGAACCAGAATGTTACGTGCTCTGCGCGATATCGCGGAATTCCACCCGCGTTAAAGTACAAAGAGGCGAGAAATCCGGGAGCAAAAGGGGCCGCTGCTAGCGCCACGCCCGGAACATTCCTCCGCGAGCCGCCATTTTAATTACCGAGATATTTTTCCGACGGGAAAGCGAACGGGATACGAGCGTACGCAAATATCGTTTGAGCTCTATGGCGAAACGCGGTGCAAATTCCAGCCCATGGCGAGAACTCGTTCCCCGTTCGCAACTGGAAATTACACTTTACCGAGAGTTCGGATAGCAGGGATCCGATTGCGAGTCAACGATCCCTTCCGACATTCTTCGAGGCACTCTCAACTGCCGAAGTAGCGTCCAACTAATTTCCTTTCTCGCTAAAAATAAATTTCCTACACTCTCGGAAAAGTTGCTTCGATAAAGATTGAAAGCTCGTTAAAAGATCCGACGAGCTGGGAACAACCGCGTTACCCTGCACATTCCGCCAGGAGAAATTACCGACGAACAAAGAACGCCATTTGCAGTGACTGCAGGTTAGTCGCGGGAAACAAGGGTGTCCTGTTCCACGAAACACCGTGGAAAATGGAGAACGGAGTTACCTGCATCTCTTCTCTCGCCACTCTCCGTTTCAATCCTTGCACCATGTCCGTGAGCCAAGGAACGGGGATCAAGGAGCGACAGGGGTTGGCTGCGAGGGCTAGATGCCGACGATAGCGCGCGCGCAACGTAAAACATCTCCGAGCGCAATTTGCCGGGTGGTAACCAGCGTAAGCCTTTCAGTGGCTTTGGGTATTCGAAGCCAGCAGTAGGACTCGCCATTTTCTGCTTAGGCCAACTCGAAAGCGACCTGGAAAGACGGCTCTTTGAATAGCTACGTGCACCTTCAACGCGATCTTCATTTCCTATTAATCCGGCAGCGTTACTCGCTCCAGGATTCTCCGGAGATTCCGGTACTCTTGAATCAAACAGGGCTTCTTCGCGAGGAGAGAGAGAGAGAGAGAGAGAGAGGGAGAGAAAGGACGATAGAAAGACGACGAATGGGAAAAGAGGAAAACATAGGAGCCTAGACACAGGATAAAGGACACGTAGCAGTTTAACCAGCGGAAGGAGGAAGAGGCAGCGGGAAAAGAAGAAATATAGAACGCAGCTGGGAACCGAACGAATTTTCCCCGGGATACGAAGAATTTCCGCCAGCCACGGAATATTTCCTCCTCGCGTCTCCCTTCCGCGGCAGCCTGTCTCAACCCCTAGCGCGATCCGCGTCGCGACGTACGTGCAGGCATTTTCTAAACGGCGTCAACGGGACGACTGTTGCGGCCTCGACACGCAGGCAAGTCGTGTCGCGTTTCCGTGCGGAGGGTTGCGAGTGACGAAGCGTCTCAACCGTTTCCCTTCGTGCCAGGAAAATGGAGACCTCGCCCCGGTGCATCCAGGCTACGATGATTTCGCCAGCCATTCACGGTAATTTCTCGGGATAAAATTCCGAGTAATTTCCTGTAATTTCTCCACGCAGGTACGCGACCACCCTAGCGTCGTCGTCGTCGTCGTTGTCGTCGTTGTCGTCGTCCTCGTCCGCGTCGGAGTCGGGGGTGCGGAAGGGTGCAACGCTGGAAACGATGGCAACCGTTCTCCGCTGGTAAACTCGATTTAAAGACGCCTCGATGCAGGTTTCCACTTGTACTTATCTAGGCGCCATCGTCTCCGACGTTTTTCTTATTTCACCCTCACCTCTTTCGCGGGATCCACGCAGCTGAGCGTGTCAATCAGTTTAGGGGCGGCAGATCGGTTTGCCTGAATTTTATTCTGCGCGTTCTACGCGGTAGACGCGCGACAAACATTGACTGACGGCGCTGGATAAGAGTACAACGGCGTTGGAAAATGGAACGACGTTAAGGCGTTGCTCGTGAAACGTAGTCGCGTTGTCTCGGATCACGTTAGGGTGAAAACTGTGAGGGTATTAGGCGAGGTCTTTGATCTGCTGGAACTGCGACGCGAAATCGTTTGCGAAACTAAGTTGGTCGGATCGTACGGCAAAGATCTATGCGACTAGGGATTATTCATCAGCCGATCAGCCGAGTAATCCGGCGATCATTTTATCGTAAGCTAGTACACAACCGAGAGAAATTAGAGATACCAATTAGCGGGTGGTATCAATTTAATGGCCGCCCTCGCTGTCGTTCGTCATCGTCGTCGTTGCAGGGAACTGTGTTCGACGTGGGTGTTGCTCGTTGATTATCGTCACCGTCGTTATCGTTGTCATTACTTGAATATCCCATCGATTCCGGCTTCTCTCTGCCCCACTCTCCGGGCTATTATACATCCCCCGCCTCCATCGCTCGTCTTCTCGCTCGTACGGTCGTTCATTACCTGACCATCCGTACCTGCTATATGGCCACGCACGAGGGCCCAACATTTATAACGCTAGGTACACCGACTAGGCAAAATGGCAATTCTTCACTGGATTACACGATTCGACGTAAAATTATAATCTACCCAGTACCTCGACCGCGTATACCTGGCTCGTTTATCACGAATTCAACATCGGAGTGATAAACGAGAAGCAACCCCGCACGGCAAATAAATAAATTACAGATGTAAACGAAGAGAATATGAATAAGCAAACGGAAAATACACCTATGCCGAGTACCCTCGTTAACCGACAATTTCCGAGCGACTAATGCGCCTGAACGTTAATTACAAGGAGAAACGTTCCGTGTTTAAAGCGCCTGTTTATTC